CTAAAAACTAAGAAAAAACATGTTTTCAGTTAATTCTAAAGATAATTTATGATTTTAAACCTTCAATTTACTTACTTTTTAAACAAAACCGTGGTTTTTAACTCCAAAACATACTTTTTACCTTTTTACATCATATAAACATGATAAACAGTCAAAAAACGCCATAAAACAAACAAAATTATAATTATTAGCTCAAAAAATACCTACTTTTTTAATAAAATATTAATTCTAACGTTGGTTAACCTCAAAAATTTGCTTTTTAGTCAATATCAAATCATTTTAAGTTCTGTAGTGCCATCTGGCGGCCTAAAACAAAAACAAAAAATAATATAGTATAGATGGCAATACAATGCACTTTCCCCAGTTAATATTCCTCACTCCTAGTGTCATCCACTCATCCAGTCGAGTGCTCCACGACGTTTTATGACGCTTGTTGCTTCTCCCCGCAAACAATTCGCCACTCCACCGCTTTAAACACTGGTGAGTACATTAAACAAACCTCATACCAATTCAAAACCACAAAACTAATCATATCCGGTGTGTTATTCTCTTCCAACACTCTCCAACAGCATAATTCAGCGGTATTCGTGCATTGCCAGCCCAGGAGAAGCTGCGCAAAGGCCGCGCCCAGGTGCAGTGTGCCGTGTTGAGTGTGATTTTCGCGCGTGTGACTTGTGAAATTCGCCACCATAGGCCTCTCGGACACGGCGTTGATGGACATGGTGATCTCAAATTTACAGCAACAGCGCGCTGTGACGGAGCAGCTGCGCCGCGAGGCCGCCATCAAGCGCATGCTCGTCTCGCAGGCGGTCGCCGACATCGTCAAGTTCATCAACGAACACGAGCAGGATGACTGCCTCCTGCACGGCTTCACCAGCCAGCGGATTAATCCATTCCGCGAGAAGAGCTCCTGCACCCTCATCTAAACCACACCACCAGCATCATCTCTACACGCACACAAACACATAAACATAGAATAATTGTGCTTTCATTGTTACTTGAAAATGTTACACTTTGCTTCTGTTCAACGAAAAAGAAAAGAAATCATCATTCAGATCATGTAGTCAGTGTTTAATTGTTGCTGCAGTCAGATACAAGTGTGTCGATGTTCAAATCTCTATCAGGGTCCCTTCAATAATCGATGTGATCATAGATGCAGTTGCTATGTTTGTAATTTCTTCGATTCTTGTATTCTTTTGATTGTTTGTTAACTTATTAAGCAAAAAGATGAACATATCATTGGAGTTCAGCTGTATCTTTTGGTATATGTCAGTCAGATGGAGCAGAATTGTATGGTTTAATTAAATGATAACAAAGTCGATTTGATTAATGTACACAAGTGGGTGTTTCATGTATGTCTGTAATAAAAAAAACAATGTATGACTAAATATATGTGACAATATTTTATATATGTTTCTGTGTTGGTTATTTGATTAAAATTACTCTGTGGATGTTTTTTGAGTTGATATTTTGGTCAGTTTAAAGTTTTGAGTGTTAAAACTGTGTTTTTTATGAGTAATTATTACTTTTTAGTGTAAATTGAGGAAATAAATGTTTAATTTTGATGTTTTAACCTCAAACTCACATTTTTTGAGTTTTTCTTGCATTTAAACAAGAAAAACTTCCAAAATACAAGTTGAAACAAAGAAAAAACGTGTTTTTAGACAAGTTTCAATAGAATTTATGTTTTCTAGCTTCAAAACAACTTGCTTTTTGAATAAAACTATGATTTTAACGTCGATTAACCTCAAAACTCACTTTTTAACATTTTACATCCTTTAAACATAAGAAACAAGCAAAATACAACTTAAACCAATGAAAAACCATAGTTTTAATCAATGGTGAATAGAATTTATGATTTCTGTGGCTAGAAGTACTTACTTTTCAAGTAAAATTGTGATTTTAACATTGGTTAACCTCAACATTCACTTTTTTGCTGTTTTATGTCATTTAAGCATAATAACAATGCAAAATACAACTTGAAACAAAGAAAAAACATGGTTTAAGACAGTTTTATGTAAAATTTATGATTCTAGCCATAAATGTACTTACTTTTTGAGTAAAACAGTTATTTTAGCGTTTGTTAACCTCCAAACTCAATATTTATCATTTTTAAACATTTAAACATGAGAATCATCATTTAACAATGAAAAACATCAAAAAACAACTCAAAACAAACAAAAAACATGCTTTAAGTCAATTTTAAGTTAAATTGATGATTTCTAGCCCTAAATAGACTTACTTTTTGAGTAAAACAGTTATTTTAACGTTAGTTAACCTCCAAACTCAATATTTATCATTTTTGAACATTTAAACACGAAAAACAACCAAAAAACAACTTGAAACAAAGAAAAACAAAGTTTTAACCAATTATAACTAAAATTTAAGATTTCTGCACGTAAAAACACCTACTGTTTCAATAAAGCACTGATTTTAACGTTGATTAACCACAAAAATAACTTCTTTTACATTTTTACATCACTTAAACACGAAAAACAACCAAAAAACAACTTGAAACAAAGAAAAAACATGTTTTTACTCAATTGTAACCAAAATTTAACATTTTTACCGTTAAAAATACTTATTTTTTCCATAAAACAACAATTTCAACGATGATTAACCTCAAAATCACAATATAACCTAAAACATATACAAATCCCACTTGATTACAATTACAATATTATTTTATTGTGTCATCTGTATATACACCATCACTACTCATCTTTACAATTCGTTTTGTTTATGTTTTCTTTATACATTGATACAAAATCCACTTTCAGTTACATTCATCGCAATGCTTCCTCTTCCCATCCCACTATATTGACCTAAAGATACTTATTACAATAATCAATTCAATGACGATCGAGATTAGTTAATCAACGTGTAATGTGTTATTTATTCAATGTTTATCACAGCTATAGGCATGCACACGTGTAATGGTATCGTGTTTATGTGTGTAACTACTCAATGCAGGGATGACATTCTGGGTGATATTACGATATATATTTATATATAGAATATAATTGTTTATGCGGTAAGAAATTCCATACAGCGCAATCGAAATGATATCGTTTCATATTACGTATGACGTTCAACTAGAAGCGTTTTTCGAGGAATGTGCAGTCACGAATGAATATTTCAACGAATTGTGCATGCGGGCACTGATTAAACTTTTATCAAAGTGTCAGACACACCCAAAACAAGTCTCGCTTGTTATCCGCTCGCGTTTTACTCATCTTAAAACACGAAATGCAATTATTCAATTGGTTGGTGTGTAAATTTAGAACAAGATGGACGGTGCTTGTTTACATGCAGTGCTTTTTAATTAGAAAATCCAGGGAGTGAAATTCGTGTGTTTCAATCACCTTGAACCTTTTCCTTTCAATTTTCTTTTTACGTGGTGACCTTTGACGTGCGGGTTCGTGCTGTTTTCTTTTTGTGTCTATCTCGAAATGTTTTTGTGAGTGGCAGTTCATTTTCAGCTGTAAACTACGCCAAACATAAAACAGCGAACAAATCATAGATAATACGTGCAGGGACGACTTAATCCTCTTTCGGATGAATAAATAACGTGGATTGTGACACAAGAGATGAAAAATGAGGTTATGAGCTTACAATACACTAAATCAATCAATAAATGTACATTTGTCTTCAAATATATGTTTAAAAGCTGTTTTTCTAGGTTATGTTTGGTTTAGTATTCGTTTTGGGATTGATTTTGATGTTATAACCTCAAAATTCAATTCTTTTGCTTGTTTTACATGAAAAACAACTTAGGACTATGAAAACATGTTTTAGCCACTTTTAAGTAAAATTTAAGAGTTTTAAGCTTAAAAGTACTTGATTTTTAAATAAAACTGTGATTTTAACGTTGGTTAACCTCAAAATTCACATTTCACCCTTATAAACATGATAAACATGCAAAATTCAACTTAAAACAAACAAAAACGTGTTTCAAAGCAATTTTAAACTAAATTTAAGATTTCCAGCCTTAAAACTACTTATTTCCACAGTAATACTGTGATTTAAACGTCTAATAACCTCAAAATTCACATTTTTCACCACGTTCAGTTAAAATCTACCACGTTTCGTGTTACCAAACATAAAACACTGAACAAATCATACATAATACATGCATAAATCACTTAATCCTCTCCCAGATGAATAAATAACGCAAAACATGACAAAACAAATGAAAATGAGGTTATGAGCTTACAATACACTAAATCAATCAATAAATGCACATTTGTCTTCAAATACATGTTTAGAAGCTGTTTTGATAGGTTATGTGTGGTTTAGTATTCGTTTTGTGATTGATTTTGATGTTATAACCTCAAAATTCAATTCTTTTGTTTGTTTTACATGAAAAACCAACTTATAACTATGCAAAACATGTTTTTAGTAAGTTTTAAGTAAAATTTATGATTTCTAGCCTTAAAAAGTACTTGATTTTTAAATAAAATTGTGGATTTTAACGTTGGTTAATATCAAAATTCACATTTTTACCCTTTTTACATCATTTAAACATAATAAAACATGCGAAATTCAACTTAAAACAAACAAAAACAAGTTTTTAGTCCCTTTTAACTAAAATTTAAGATTTCCAGCCTTTAAACCACTTATTTCAGTAATACTGTGATTTAAACGTCTAATAACCTCAAAATTCACATTTTTCACCACGTTCAGTTGAAATCTACCACGTTCCGTTTTCCCAAACATAAAACACTGAACACATCGTACATAATAAATGCATAAATCTCTTAATCCTCTCCCAGATGAATAAATAACACAAAACATGACAAAACAGATGAAAAATGAGGTTATATCATGCTTATAACACAATAAACCAATCAATGACTGCACATTCCTCGTCAAATACATATTTAAACTCCGCTTTTCTAGGTTATGTCTCGTTTCCTATTCGCATCCTATCTAATTCGGCATTTCGTACGACTCTGAAGCGCTAACAATAATCATATCAGTGCTAGTGTTTGTGGTGGTTGTCCTTTACAATAGATATAATATTTATATAAAGATATACATGTACAATAAAAGACTCAATAATTCAAAAGATCCAATTCGATAAAAATTCAAAATCGATGGCCGTATCCCACACAATTCGCCAACCCTCATCATCTACCGCCTTCCAGCCGTTGTGATTAACGCTATTAATATTAATTAGATATTTAAGGGCAGGGTTTGGAGGTATTGTGGAGTGTTTTTGCTTTGACTCTGACCACGCATTTAAAAATCGCCTACGTTTAACGCTATTATTATCATCGATAAAACGTTTTGGTGTTTCGTTCGTAACTTTTAAACATCATAACTCGTTACTGATTCAATCTTAAATAAGCGAATATATCATAAGACCACGGCAACCAAACACACACGCATAATTGTGTTTTAGTCAACTTATTGAGCAATCGGATCAAGTCTTAAGTCAAAATCTATCATAACGTGTTGATTTAATTGAAAACGTAACCTGTCTCCTACTTGTTCTTATCATCTGTATCGGTCAATTCCTTTCTTACGCTTTAATCAGTCTTGTGCAGCGAGTAGTTCTCGTTGTTTTGATTCTCAATCGTCTCCTTCTGATTCTGGAATATTTTCAGCAAGTCCATCGCCTCTTTAGCCTGGCGTTTCTCGATGAGATAACGCCCGGATGCCTCCTTGAGCTGCTCGAGGAAGACCTTGTCGGGGAAGTGGAGGTCAGCGAATGAGTCCGGGTCCATATCGCTGAGGAGTTCAAGTTCCGGCCCGCCGAGTAGTGACACATGGCAGAGATTGTGTTTTATCTTATCGACTAGACCGGCTAGTTCAGGCCCACCTTTACCATCGTCCAGTTCATCGAAGGATAATCGACATGGCGGCACTGGTGGCGACCATTTTTCTTCGCTGCGCAGCACCATGAGACTCGTGTGCGGTTCCAGAGTGGCGAAGTATTCGTCGTCGTCGATTTCTGTGCCGTCGGCTTCAAGAACCTGGAAATTTAAGCGTGGAAAACGTGAGAAATTGTTGTGTAGAATATGCGATGTACATTGAAGATATTCTCTTGAGTGTCGTAACTTTAAAATATTAAATTCCCTAATGTAGGCAACTTTCCAACCACCACTAACGGCAGAGTTGAGAGATTTTGAGGTTAACTTACATTAATACAGATTAAATTTAACTAAAAACAAAGAAAAACGTTTATATTAAATAGAATTTAATGATTTTACTCTTAAAACTACTTACTTTTTATATAAACCTCTGATTTTAACACTGGTTAACCTCAAAATTCACTTTTTTTCTCGTTTTGTGACTGTGCACAGTCATAAATTTAAAATATCAAATTCCCTAACGTAGGCAACTTTCCACACACCACAAACGTCATAGTCTGGTGATTTTAAAGGTTAGTTGGTATTAATACAGATTATCCCCAGAAGAAATACGAAATTTATGGTTAGAAAAGTTAAAATAATTGCCGTGAGTAAGCACAATAAGAAAGGAATTACGCGAAGTGAAGTCATGCTCGCAACGCAAACGACCGGACCAGTGAGCAGCAAGGGTACGAGGTAATTCTACACGTCGAAATATATTACGTTCGTGGAACCAGCAGGGATGTAGTCGTGTACAGCGGCGGCCATAAATGTTTTCCTGCCGTTATTATTCCGCCGTAAGTTATTGTTATTAGTAAACGTTTTCCAAGGCTCGGACACGTGCCGCAATGTATATCTTATCAAGGTCAAAGTTTATTACTGTATTTTCACTGGGATAAACAAGTAATTGGATGGAAATTAACAAAAAAAGAAGAAAACATCGAATTATAACCTCAAATAAATATTAGGATGTCAAAAGTCATCGTGGCTGTCATTTTTTAAGTCAGATAAAGTAGAAATCTGTAAAAAGTAAGTTTTAACCTCACAATCAGTAAATTTAAAGGTAAAAGTGTCAAAATTATAATGGATGTCATTTTTTGAGCCAGGTTATGTTTTATCTCTACGTTTTTTGCTCCTAAAAGTATCTATAATAGTAAAAATCGGAAAATTCAATTTCCCAAGCGAAGTTTATGACCCACTGTAATGATAGTAATCTGTTGGAGAAAAGATTTTATAAAGTCATGTCATTTTTCATTGGTGGCAGCCATTCTAACCTCACAAAACCGACGCAGACGACAAACACAGCACCAAAGTGGGTGAGTAAAGTGGATGATCCAATAATATTTCGTTATTCTTCCACATCCCGCACGAAAATATTTGTTTTCCGAAAATGTTTAACATTGAAATATTTGCGTTCCGTGAAATTGTGTTTGAAGGGAAAACTCTTCGCCCACACACGCACCGTATTTGTTTATTCAGTGAATAATTAATTACACGTGGGTCGTCGTTTCGACGTGAAAAACATGCATAAAAACGATTTTTCCATTAGCGCGTTAATATTTCATCATCATTAGGCAGCTTCTTTCACGGCGCGGTGGAAATCTGCGTGCATTTTTTAAATGCCATGAAAAGGGTTGACCGCCAAGGTTGCGGTGTGGGTTTTGGAAAGAGTGACGCTGTTGAAATATGGCGCTCGGTCATTTGGAAACAAGCTTTTCGTTTTCATCACGTCGGGTTTTTCGCTTTTCTCTAGCGTTTAGTGTTACATGGTTTCCTCATCACGGCGTTACGTGATCATGTATGAGGGGAGAAAATTGTGAAAAGGGCTCTTTTTGAGGAGTATAAGGCAAGCATTTCTCAAGATTCATACTTAACCTTATTATAGTTATTAACAGCTGCGATAGAGTTTTAGTAAAATGTTAAAATGTCAAGAAAAATGTAGAAAAAGATGAAAATTTAGGAAGAAAATTTATTTTTGATAAAATTATGTTGAAAAACAAAGAAAATCTTAGGAAAAGTGTGAAAACATGAGAAAAATGTTAAAAAACAACAAAAAACAGAAAAAAAAAAATGTATTTTTTGGTAAGATTATGTCGAATAACAACAAAAAATTAAGAAAATTTGTTAAAAACTCAGATAAAATGAATAAAGAGGGAAAAAGTAGAGAAAAACTGTATTTTTTGATAAAATTATGTCAAATAGAAACAAATTTTATAGAAAAAATATTTAAAAAATCACAAAAAGCAACAAAAATCAAAGAAAAAATAAAACATTCGATAAAATTGTGTCACAAATCAACAAAAATAGAAACTACAGTATTTTTCGATAAGATTATATCAAATAAAAAGTTTAACTTAAGAAATAAAAAGGATTTTTTTTGATAAAATCTTGACGAATAACAACAAAATTAAGAAAAGTGATTAAAACTCAAGTAAAATGAATAAAACGATAAAAATTGAGAAAAACTGTATTTTCACAGTAAAAATTATGTCCTTAAAAAGTTTTAAAGAGAAAATATAAAAACAGTATTTTTTGATAAAATTATGTCAAATAGCAACAAATTTTATAGAAAAAATATTTAAAAAATCACAAAAAGCAACAAAAATCAAAGAAAAAATAAAACTTTCGATAAAATTGTGTCACAAATCAACAAAAAATAGAGAAAAACAGTATTTTTCGATAAGATTATGTCAAATAAAAGTTTAACTTAAGAAATAAAGGATTTTCTGATAAAATCTTGAAGAATAACAACAAAAAATTAAGAAAATTGATTAAAAACTCAAGTAAAAGGAATAAAAACGAAAAAAATTGAGAAAAACTGCATTTTCTGATAAAATTTTGTCGAAAAACATAAAAGTTTTAAAGAGAAAATATAAAAACAGTATTTTTTGATAAAATTATGTCAAATAACAACAAATTTTATAGAAAAAGTATTTAAAAAATCAGAAAAACTGTCAAAAAATAACAAAAATTACAGAAATAAGGAATTTTTGATAAAATCATGACAAATAACAACAAAAAATGCGAAAAAGACAAAAATTAACGAAGAAAAATGAGTTTATGATAAAATTATGTCGTATAACAACAAAAAATTTAATAAAAACTAAGAATATGAAGAAAACAAGCAGAAAACCAAAGTAAATTGAGCGAATAATTACACTAAGACACAATATACACTAAAATAACATAATTTTAAACCTTGAATTGTCTTTAAAAAATATTTATCTTCGTTAATTGGACACTGTGCAAATTTCTACATAAAACAAACGTCCAATTATAAACTTATTCAATTCCAAAACAATATTCTCGTACTCGTATTTTACCCACTCAAATTTATATAATCAAATTACACTGTTGATTATATTCTCTCTACTCTGACGATAATTGATTACTCTAATGAGAATTTAATGACACTATAGGCAACCAACAATACGCATCAAACAAAGCGTCTCTTAATACTCGCGCGGCAACCTACTTAAGTCATAATTTAACCTTGATTACTGTTTACTTATATACTTACAACAGTAACATCGCCTTCAATGTCCAGCTTCTCCAACACCTTGGCGGTGAGCTCCTCGAGCGTGGTGGCAACCACACCTTTGCGTGTCTCGCGCGACGAGTCGGTGATTTTGAAGGGATTGCCGCCCCCTTGTTGCGCCGCCGTCGCCGTCGTCTGGTCGTTGCCCTCGTCGTCCATTTTTAGCGCGCGCGCGTGTATTGAACAGTATTTTTTGATAAAATTATAAATAGCAAATAAATTATAGAAAAATATTTAAAAATCACAAAAAGCAACAAAACGCAAGAAAATAAAATTTGATAAAATTGTGTCACAAATCAACAAAAATTAGAGAAAAACAGTATTTTTCGATAAGATTATGTCAAATAAAAGTTTAACTTAAGAAATAAAGAATTTTTTGATAAAATCTTGACGAATAACAACAAAAAATTAAGAAAATTGATTAAAAACTCACGTAAAATGAATAAAAACGAAAAAAACTGAGAAAAACTGTATTTTCTGATAAAATTATGTCGAAAAACATAAAAGTTTTAAAGAGAAAATATAAAAACAGTATTTTTTGATAAAATTATGTCAAATAACAACAAATTTTATAGAAAAAGTATTAAAAAATCAGAAAAACGTTTAAAAAATAACAAAAATTACAGAAATAAAGCTTTTCTTGATATAATCACAGAGAATCATAACGGAAAATACGAAAAAAGACAAAAATTAAAGAAGAAAAATAAGTTTTTCATATCATATTATCGCAAAACAAGAAAAAATTGCATAAAAACTAAGAATATTAAGAATACAAGAAGAAACATAAAGTAAATTGAGCGAATAATTACACTAAGACACAATTTATACTAAAATAACATAATTTTAAACCTTGAATTGTCTTTAAAAAATATTTATCTTCGTTAATTGGACACTGTGCAAATTTCCTCACAAAACAAACGTCCAATTATAAACTTATTCAATTCCAAAACAATATACTCGTACTCGTATTTTACCCACTCAAATTTATATAATCAAATTACACTCTTGATTATATTCTCTCTACAACTCGACACTATATGCAACCAACAATACGCATCAAACAAAGCGATGCAGAGAGTCGCCGTCAACCTACTTAAGTCATAATTTAACCTTGATTACTGTTTACTTATGTACTTACAACAGTAACATCGCCTTCAATGTCCAGCTTCTCAACACCTTGGCGGTGAGCTCCTCGAGCGTGGTGGCAACCACACCTTTCCGCGTCTCGCGCGACGAGTCGGTGATTTTGAAGGGATTGCCGCCCCTTGTTGCGCCGCCGTCGCCGTCGTCTGGTCGTTGCCCTCGTCGTCCATTTTAGCGCGCGCGCGTGTATTGAACACTAAACCAATACTGCGAACCGAAACTATTACACGGCGTGAGTGTGGAAGGTCAGCGGGAATATAAACTCTACAAACACACAGCTGTAGTAACGGAACACATAACACTCTCTGACAACAAAACAATCACGCGCATTGTTTTGATTTTAGATTGGAAATGCGATTATTATGTAATTAAATTTTATGCGAAGAGGTTTTGAGGTTATTTGTGGGTTGTATGGGTATGGTAAGAGTAGATAATGTGTCGTAACTGAGGAGCAGGAGTGTTTGGAAGAGCGTCGGAGCTCGGCGATGGCTACCGACTGACTGGATAGAGTGGAAAGCGAAAAGAGTATCAGGGATGTTGGCCGAGGGATACTACCCTTGAACCCCGCAGTGGCGTTGGCGTCGGGGACGGGAATAGTGGGAATGTTCGCGTTCCCTTCTCTGCGAATGGTTTCACGTTCAATTCGCAGGAATATTGCAAAGTTTGAAGTTTTAGGGGACATAATACTCGTAGGTAACCTTAAATTACTTTTGGAGAGAAAAATAGGGTTTTGGACAGGTTTCATGAAATTTTAAGTTGAATTGCGTTAAAATTGGTGATTTTGGGTTGAAAGTATCATTTTGCCATAATTTCTAAAATAATAATCATACTTTTATCAAATTTGTACTAAAATATAAAAATTAATAACTTTATGGTCTTTTGGGAAGTTTTATAAAATTTTCACTGGAACTGCAGGAAAATTGCAGTTTTTGTTGAAATTTTTACGTTTTTGCTAAAATTAGAAAAATAGCAAATTTTAAGCAAAATATTGAATTTTTGCTATAATTTCTAAACTAATAGTCTTATCTTTATAAAATTTGTACTAAAATATAAATAATTAATAACTCTATCGATTTTTGTAAAGTTTTCTCCAAAATTGTTATTGAAATTGAGGCAAAATAGAAAAACAGATTTAAGGTTAAAAGTGCCATTTTGATAATAACTTCTAAACCAATAGTCAAATCTTAATCAAATTTGTACCAAAATGCAAATAATCAATAACACTATTATCTTTTATTAACTTTTTTTCAAAAAATTCACTTAAACTGCAGTAAAATTGCTGTTTTTAATGAAATTTGTACTGTTTTTCGCAAAAAATGCGAAAAAAGATCAAATTTTAAGCAAAATTCAATTATTTTGACATTATTTCATGAAAAACAGTTATTTTAAAACATTTTACATTTGACATATCAAATTCTACTAATTTATATCTCTGCTTGTTGTTTAGACACGTGTGAAATTGTGGTTTTAGCTTAGTTTCTGGCCGGTTGGAGAAATTGCCAGACGCACAACTCGCAGACATTATCGATTTTGTCGCGCTTCGGATACCGCTCGGAAATTTCACCCAAAATATCCACAATGCCTAAAATGTCTAAAATTCACTAACAACAATCCTGCCATATTCCGTTATCTTGACAATGTCCTACCACAACTTAAATTATATTCACACATTCAAAACATAACACACAAAATTAATCATCATCATCAAAGTCATTTGAAGGTCGTCTGCCACTTCCACGAGTAGTCTAGACTGTTTTTTATTATTCTGTATTATTCCACATCTAAAAACATTAAATTTAGTGGTTTAGGGATAAAAGCACAAAGCTCACAATGAATATTTCAACATTTTAAAGTAAATTCGGCTTAAAACTTGTTTATTTAACAAATATCTAATACAATTACGTATATTCGTGACTCGGGCAGTGAGTAAGCTTACTTCTCCGCGTAGATAATGTCGTAGACACTTCGTGGCAGATGATAAGCGATAAAAGCTTCGATTTTTTTCCTGGCGCGTGACAGGCGTGTATCTTGGCAGCGGGAAGGTCCTCGTTGTTGCATCGACAAGTGAACGTAACACTTGAGTCAAATCAGCATCCTAAATAGATGAAAATATCGGTTATGTAGGGTTATGTATATTGGGTTGCCTATATTAACATATACATACAGGTGATTTAGTGTACTTTTCCAAACTGCGCACGGCACGCTCGAAATAATCCTCGCCGTAAATTTGTTTCTGTTCCTGCGACATCTGTCCCCACATATCCCTCGCTTGCTCCCAGAGGTCTTCATCACTCAACCAACTACTTCCGGAAGTGAATTCGCCGGGAGCAACCACAACGACATCCACTCCTTTCGAACGTAGTTCTAACCTCAAACATTCCGCCTGTGCTTCGATGGCCGCTAGTAAAGAACAATGAATTCCTCGAACAGGGATGTGATTTTTGATAAACCGGAAGACATGAAGACGATACGACCACGTGCACGGCGTAATAATGGCAACATGAGTTGATTAACACGTGTGGCTCCCATTAGGTTAACTTCGGTTGCTTTACGAATAACCTAAAAATATTTTTTTATAAAATGTTTTTTTTTTAAATAATTTTTTGATTACTTGTTGTGGTATCCATTCGATTTCACCGAGAGCAACCCACTGTGCACAGTGTACGACCGCCCATAGACCCGGAGCGCCATCTGGTAGATTTTCCACGGCGTGTAGCGACGCTGACAGGATTTGAGTTTCTTGTGATACGTCCAGTTGCAGGACGTGGAGGCGCGCGGAAGAGTCCTCCTTTAAATCATCGGCGAAAGGACTGTTGGCGTTCTGGAATCCTGCGAACACTGTGAAGCCTTGTTCGTCTAGATACCGCGCGAGGGCGTAACCAATGCGAGAATCACAACCCGTGAGTAAAATTGCTTTTCCTGCTGCTGTAACCTATCAAAATAGAAAATATTTTTTGATAAATGTTTATTTTGTTACATTTTGATGGTGATATTAATCAAAAAATTATGTTTTTTCTGGGTATTACGCATAATTTAATTACGGAATTAATTTTATATTTACCGAATAAAAGTTGCGCGAAGTTTGCTGATTAAACAAAGTGATAAATGAATTACTTTTCGCTCGCTCGCTGCGGCGATGAAACACATTGATATGCGGAGCGCGCGCGCGAGCTTATATCGCGTGTTAATTACGCTGTTTTTCGGTACGAGTATGAAAATGACGCTTCCAAGAATTACAAATGTTATAGTTCATCTCTGAGCACACATCACCTTGCGCCACAACTGTCAATTAATTATTAACAAATGACATTTATTGGATGAATAACAATTACAGTCATTTTCGCATCAGAATTCGAAATAGAAATTAAATATGGAAATTCAATAAAACCGCGCCGATGGAAAATTTAATAAGAGCCAATCGAGCGGCAGTAATCAAATGCCATTGCCAATATTGCGCGCCGTTTTTCCAATCGGCTGGCGCGCGGAAATATTTGTTTCCAGTTGCGGCGGTTCTGAGACGCTTTGAATTGGGTGGGATTTTTAAATATGCTGCGAATAAATAAATAAATATCAATATTGGTTTGTTGCTGGGGTGGCGCGTGGAGCTTTAATATTTTCCGACACACACTTCGTCAACTTTGACCTTCGCCGGCGGAATAATGTTGATAATGCCTAATGAGTCGTAAGGACCCGGGAGACTATAGCGAAAATGTATCCTCTTCAGCGTGCAAACTGTTTAACATTATATTTACGAGTAGATACCTATTTTGATAAATGTGGGAATGTTGGGTGTGTGCAAACAACAGTGGAATAATATTTAATGGAAGGTTTTATGGAAATTTGTACTTGAATTGCGTTGAAATTAAGAGAAAATTGAATTTTTACAAAAATTACATTTTTCGCTATAATTTCTAAATTAATAGTCATATTATTATCAAATTTATATTAAAATATAAATAATTATTTACTTTATTGATAATTATAATTTTTTTTGAAAGTTTTTACTTGCAATGCATAAAAATTGCTAGTTTTTGACAAAAATTTACATTTTTTGCAAAAAAGTAGAAAATTACATTTTTGGCTATAATTTCTAAATTAATAGTCACATCTTTATCAAATTTGTACCAAAATATAAATAATTATTTACTTTATTGATAATCATAATTTTTTTTTAAAAATTTTTACTTGAAATGCAAAAAATTGCGAGTTTTTGACAAAAATTTACATTTTTTTGCAAAAAAGTTGAAAATTACATTTTTGGCTATAATTTCTAAAGTAATAGTCATATCTTTATCAAATTTATACCAAAACATAAATAATTATTTACTTTATTGATAATCATAATTTTTTTTTCAAAAGTTTTACTTGAAATGCAAAAAATTGCGAATTTTTGACAAAAATTTTGATTTTTGTTGCAAAAAAGAAGAAAATTACATTTTTGGCTATAATTTCTTAACTAATAATCACACTTTTATCAAATTTGTACCAAAATATAAATAATTAAGGCCTTTATCATGTCTTGCAAACGCATTCTCAAAATTTTTACTTAAAATGCAAAAAAATTGCAATTTTCTTCACGAATTTTACGCTTTTTTCACGAAAAATGGCAAATTTTATTTAGAAAAAGTCATTTTTTGCCACAACATCTAAACCAATAATCACATCTTTATCAAATTTGTACCAAAATATAAATAATTAAAACCTTTATCATCTATTGTAAACGCATTCCCAAAATTTTTTCATAAAATGAAAGAATTTTGCAATTTTTTTCAAGAATTTTACGTTTTTTTCACTAAAAATAGCAAATTTTATTTAGAAAATGTCATTTTTTGCCATAACATCTAAACCAATAATCACATCTTTACCAAATTTGTACCAAAATATTAACAATTAACAACTTAACCCCTTATCGTTAACGTTTTCCAAAAATTTTCACCAAAAATAGATGAAAACTTCAAATTTTCCCAAAAATTTTATTTTTTTCTCTAAAATCCTGTAAAAATCAAGTTTACCTTAAGATTATGATAGCATAACACCCCTCCAATGGTAGCCAAAGTAAACCAGATGAATAAGGTCATCGTGGTCACCTGCGAAATGTGCAGGGTGTTGAGCACAGTGCTGAGAATAATCGCGGCTGCATGACAGAAAATAACCGGCAGCAGGCACCGGTCGACCATATCCCAAGGCACCTCGCGCTGCTGTTCTTTGCCGATGCCGCCCAGCCCAACACCTGCATGCGACACGCCGAGCGACGAACGGCGGCGGCGTGCCGCCGCATCTCCGCCCGTCTTGGGCAGCGCGATCGCCGGCAGCGATTTCAGAGACGCACGGCGTTTAAACGGCCCGCTCATTTTTCTACTTTCGCACTATCGATTAAATAATAACTCGCGATAAACTAAAATTAAGATGCGCGTCGCGACGCTCTCAGAATGCGACTGGATGGCGCACCGCTGGCGTTTCGGCAGTTATTTGCGTCACTCCGCGCCGAATGCACGGATGGCACTTTGGATAAATAGAGAATTTAAAATTGGCTGCGGTTGAAAATTTTTGGGCGAAAACGGGAGCACAATCCGCTATTTATACATTTTGCCTATTCACGCGGGATGCTGCAATATGCTTTGGAAAGTATAAGGGACTTGAATTTTTTATAGATTATTTACAAATTTTGCGATTTCATCGGTGTCGCTGGGAGATATATCAATTTGATTTGCCAGAAATCTGTAGATTTAAATAAACACTATTATTTTTATGCATGTTTTTCTTCAAAATACTGAAATTGCTAATGGATTTTAACAAAATTCGAAAAAATAACAAATTTTAGACTAAGAATGTTATTTTTGCGTTTTTTTTTCAAACCAATAATCAGATCTTTATCAAATTTGTGCCAAAATATAGATAATTAATACCTCTATTCTTTTTTGAAAATTATTTCTTGAAATATTTACTCGGAATGCACGAAAATTGCATTTTACTCTAAAATTTCACATTTTTTCATTAAAATTGAAAAATTGTCAAATTTTACGCAAAACTGTGATTTTTGGCCATAACTTTTAAGCCAATGATCACACTTTTATCAAATTTATGCTATAACATAAATAAATAATAGGTCTATTGATCCTTTCAAGATTTTTGCCAAAAAGTTATTTGAATTGCGTTGAAATCAGGAAAAAGCAAGTTTTGGATTTTTTTTCTTCATTTTTGGTATAATTTCTAAATTAATAATCACACTTTTATCAAATTTATACCAAAATATAAATAATTAATAACTATATTAGCCGTTGTAAGTTTTTTTCTAAAATTTTCACTTGAAATGCAAGAAAAATGCAATTTTTTGCAAAAATTTTACTTTTTTTCTTTAAAAAATAGAAAAAATAGCCTAGAATACAATTTTTCGCTATAATTTTCCATTTATTTGCCAGAAATATTCACTTTTAAATAAACACAATTATTTTTACATATTTTTCTCTCCCAAACAGCAAACTTAAAAGAGCTTAATTATAGATTTTAACTGTTTAATAAATAATACAAATGTAGGCCACTTATATCACATTTAAATTAAATTTAAAATAGAAATAGACACGTTTTTCGAATCGAATCGGAAATGACACGAGCTTTCCCAGCTAATATTAGCCAAGACGCTATAATTTTAGAAAATACTCACGAATCAGATTAGCGTGAAAAATTAGCCGAAAATAAATGCATCATGGCGTGTTCAAACACTTGTACTTGCAGAATTGATCATAATTCATCCGCTCGACTGATTTATATTTAACTCAACCTCAATATTTACTTTATTTTAATATGAAATACAACATTTCGCACAAAAATTAATTAATCCAGGTTTTCTGATGAGTTAATTAAGATCCTCGTGATTATCTTTATAACCACAGCTGGAAAAAATTCATAAAACTTTCCCGGTTAGTGTATACAACCAGTTATACACCTACGTGTCGCAATAAAACCGCAGCTATAAAAAATGTTTGCGCAGCGTTTGAAAGCATGATATAATTAAATCTACATTTACATGTGCGATTTAATTACGCTGCGGAGTATTAAATATGTACAAGCAAGGGAAATCAGTGTTTGTTGAGCTGTTTAACCTGTTTAACCTTTTATTTCCGTTGTTCAGCATCATAACCTCAAAATCACCGGGTGTGTTTTGTGTTGCCTAATGTTTTCTTTTAATTACGCACGCTTAGCTACTTTTTTCGCGTTTGGTGCTTTTATGATTACTTTGTATTTAATTTATGTATTCCCACAGGCTGAGTGGTTATTTAGAAGTCACGTGCGATAGTAATATTTTCTTTTCATGCCACCCTGGCGATTTTTCAGCATTCTACTATTGTGTGTGCTTATAAACACAATTTTTCTTCTCTCAGCGGTGTAATATTACAGTGTTATGAATTGTGTACTTTTATTCGTCGTATTTGCGCTTAGAATGATGAAATAAATGTAATAAAATTAGGAATTGTTATAGTTTGATAGTTTTAAGCAAAAAACACGCAGCGTGTGTGGGGAAAATGGTAAATTATTGCGTTCGGATAGATAACGCGCGGAGAAATATGAAAGGAAAACTTGCGCCACATAAAAATGGGCCCCAACGATGCGAGAAAATAAAACAACAGATAAAGTGAGCGAACGTAAAGCAAATAAAGAACGACTTTGTTTACTCTAAACACGTACGAAACGCGTATTTTCTTTCCTTCGTTCGAAAATTCTCTTCCCTCCGCTAAACATTTCTACACTTGAAGAATTAAAAGCAGAATATTTTCGCAAAAAATTCCTCGCGCGCGCACAGAAAGGGCGAAGAAAAAACCGTTACAATTTCATTAAACATCAAAGTTATGCGATTTGCTTTTGCGCTTTTTATTTCAGCGTGGACGTACTAAAAAAAGTCGAGTATAAAATTTCGCCGCCGCGGTGAGAGCGCGGCGCATTTCGTAAGTAAGCGCGCAAATGTTATGATCAAAGATGCGACGCGAGCGAAATACGAGAAATTGAAACAAACGAAGGTTGCGTTATCATTACGTTAGCTTTTCATGCGCAATAATGATATTAAAATTGCTATAAGCGTGGGCTAGCTCTAGCACAGCGCCGCACGGAAAGAGAGAGAGTTGGCGGCTTCCGGTGAGCAAATTGGAAAAGTTGGCACTCATTCACTAGCAGGGCACAATTCAAGACAACTCTGATTCGTTTTCTTGAAAAAAACTCCAGCCATGTTTTTATTGAAGAACAAACGTGTATGGCGCAAGAAACACCCTCTGGTGTCAGACACATCAACCACACACAGAGCTATGCATGTCATGTGGGTTGCCTATATTAAAAATAAATTGAGAGCTATTAAAAAGTTTAATTTTTGGTGTTTTTTGGTGGAAAAAGGCAGAAAAACGTTTAAAACATTAAAAATGTTATATAGGTGAGGTTATGTTTTATTTTTAGAATTGCAGGAACAATATAAATAACATAAATGTTTTTAAACATTAAAAAATGCATTTTTTTGGGTTTATGGCTTCTAATAAGTATCCGAGGGACATCAAGCGCCCTCTGGTGTCATATACATCAACTAAACACAGCACTACACATGTAATGTGGGTTGCCTATGTTGAAGTTCTCCTCTGAGCTATTAAAATCGTTATTTTTTGTGTTTTTCCCTCAGAATATTCACAAAAACCTAAAAAAAATTATTTATCTGGGGTTATGTGAACAATACATAACCTAAATACTTAAATATATTAAAAAATGCATCTTTTGCGCCCGTGGGTGTTTCTCCCCATGCACTAAAAGCCACCACCCCGCCAGTCGGGGAATCAAGAAGTGTAAAGTTTTTACTATCGCACTTTTGTGCGCCGAATGCGCGCGAAGAAGTAAAACTCTCAGTGCCCTGAGCGGCGCGCAATAAAGCGACGAAAAGGAGAGATAAAAACCATCTCGCCATCACTCTATCACTCTATCACATCGCCTACACACGGATCTTTGTACAGTCAGCGCGCGCGTGAATGGCGGCTAGTAAAACGCCGTCGTCGTCGGTCGTCCGGCGACGTTTCATCTCATTTGGCAACTTTAACACGCGCAATGTGCAACATAATACCTACACTATACTACATCCAGAAAGAAACGCTTCTCGGAACCTATTTCGCTCGCAACATGCCGAAAACTATTAGTGAATAAATGACTTCGTAAAATATAACGACATGTTTTAGTTTTTCGCGCGAAATTTTGCGCGAATTTTTATTTTCTTGGGGAAAAAGAGAAAGGTTTACGATAATTTAGATGACGTGCGAAAGAAGCATAAAATGATGAAGTATGCTCTTACGTTGCGCACAAGCCCGGCGCCTCCACCAAAACTGTTTTATCCAAAGTTTTACGCTAAAAAACTTCAAAGTTAAATTTAATTTATTTTATTGACTGATAACTATTTTAAAACAGAAAAAATTTTATATAAATATTAATAGGTGTATTAAATTTTGTGGCGCCTCCACCAATTTTTGGAAAAATTCAAATTTTATCGATTCCGCATGCACGTAAATTGCTTTTTGTGAATGAACCCCGTATATTCGGCGTGTGGGCGACTCGTGCTTTCTGCTCTGCGCGAAAAAACGTTTGGCAGCGGCGAGATTTGGCCATCACTGTTTTCTCATGCTTCAAAATGGCGTATTGGGATGCCTAAGTGAATAGTAAATTAGAATCTACGCTGTAGTCTAATTTTAGCCGGGCGTAATTTTTAGTTTGGGTTTTGGCTTTGCGGTAGTCGGCTGTATGTTGGGCGACATCATCAGCATGGCATATGAGCATAACGAGTCTCTGCGCGTGAACTTTGCATGAGAAAGGTGTTGCGCGCGGGCTCGTCGCGCCGGCAATTCATTCTTGAAGTTGGCGATGCGGGAATGACATGCTGGAAGCGACTTTTGATATACTCCGCTGCATGCTGAGAGGGTGAGCTTTTTGGGGAACCAATTTGCTATGCACGTATGCTGAACATATGAATACTTAGTGTAAAGTATGAGCGCTTCTTTCGGTTTTCTGGAGTTTTCTACCTTGGAAAAGAAGATATCAGTATGATTTTTTTTCTTATCATGAAAAGAATTTAATTGTGCATCAGTGTGTGGTAAAATAATTTGGATATTATTTTTAGTTTTTGAGATATAATGATTTTTATATCGAAAAAAAAATGAAATTTTTCTGTTATTTGAATTTTTTTACTTTTGAGATATTTTAGGGGTGGTTATAGGTGGGTAAAAGGGATGCTATGTAATGTCGGGTAAAAAGAGACTTTTTGGCTAATGGAAACCGTTTAAAAGATTTATTTTGTTCATTTGATTTAGAAGATACAGGCTAAAACGTAAAACAATTTCTGAAAATATTTTCAAAAATTTTCAATGTTTCAAGTTTAAAGCTTTTTAAAGCTCATTCAAACAAAATAAAAAGCACAAAACATAATATATCTTAAAGAAAATCTCTTCATTTATTAGAATGTTTTTAAATAATTAAATTTCCTCTTTTTGTTTATAAGATACAAAGTAAAACCTAACAAATTCCTAAAAATAATTTTAAAAATTTCCAATTCTTCAATTTTAAAGCTTTTTAAAGCTCATTCTACCGAAATAAAAAGCATAAAACATAATATATCTTAAAGAAAATCTCTTTCTTTATTAGAATGTTTTTAAATAATAAAATTTTCCCTTTTTGTTTATGAGATACAAAGTAAAACATAACAAATTCCTAAAAATATTAAAAAATTTCCAATTCTTCAATTTTAAAGCTTTTTAAAGCTCATTCTACCGAAATAAAAAGCACAAAACATAAAATATCTTAAAGAAAATCGCCTCCTTTATTAGAATGTTTTTAAATAATTAAATTTCCTCTTTTTGTTTATAAGATACAAAGTAAAACATAAAAAATACCTAAAAATATTAAAAAATTTCCAATTCTTCAATATCAAAGCTTTTTAAAGCTCATTCTACTGAAATAAAAAGCACAAAACATAATATATCTCAAAGAAAATCTCCTCCCTTAATAAAATCTGTTTAAATAATTAAATTCCCTCGTTTTGTTTATAAGATACGACGCATTTTCCCCCACAATTTTTCTCCGCCCGAAAATATCTTAACTAAAATGACGCAGGCCTGATTAATGAGGTGGAAAATTTAAGTTTGAAGGCACATTTCCGCTCAATAGCCGCTTTCGAACGGATTACAAACATTTAGCGAACCTAAAAGTGTTGTTGTTGCTGTTGCTGGCCGCATGTGCGCGGTGCGCGCCGGCGGCGATGCGAAGAGCGCGTGAGCACACCGCGTGTGTGGGCGAACCAACTCTGGTGGCGGCAAACCAACAGCCCCCGTTGCCGCATCGATCCAATATGTACGACGGCGACGACGACCACGGCCGAGCGCACCACTCCCACAACTTCGCCGAATACCAACTAGAGATAAACAACTTTTCAATTCTCTCTCCATCCACACACCGCCCCAGCACACACTCGCATATTTATTAATTCATACTCGACATGCGTAATCATCTTTTGTAAACATTCTGTGTATGTGGTTATATTTAATAACAGCTACCTGTTGGGCTTGCGCAGTTGGAAAAAAAAAGCAGAAACAAGAAAGTTGAGTGTTCACTTGCGTGCGGCGGTGATAATCGCGTGAAAACCGGCGTCAAGGACATGCTGTTGCTCATTTCGTCATATTGCCATGATGAAAACTTTCCAAACACACCCGCATACATCTAAAAATATATTGATACTCCACTCAAGGACATCAAAAAGTGTTCAATTTTGGGCAAGAGGCAAATGCAATCGATTCACGCATACGTCCGTATACATTATTTTTGTTTTCTCTTGTTTATAGCCGCGCACAGTGTATGTATGTGTGAGTGTTTTCGTGAACATCCGTTAGGTTCATCCTCGTGGCGGCGGCGGGGCTCAATGCAACCTTGAAACTGAATGGAGCTGGCGAGTGGAAGTGGCAAACGGAAGAAATACGAGATGACGTCATAGAATTATACACACCCTCCGACATTCCGCAGCACATTCAACATTCATCGGAGTTTTCCACACACACACACACACATAGGAGACAGGATTTTCTCGCGCAATAATAAATTTCGGCGGGCGCTGGCCACTTGTAGACCTGACGTTTCTTTGAGAAACAATGGCTACCTTCAAAACACTCCCGGGGGACGCGTTTGTTGCCGCTCCCAGCCTCCCAAAGCGAGTGCCCCTCTTGTATTCAGGGGCGGTGGCGGTGCGCAGCACTATAAATGTCTAAAAATAGACATTCGACAACCGCATCTTAAAAATATTTCCAAAAAATTACATTTTTTAATTTTACATGTGAAATATCATCGAGATGATTGATTATTTTGTCCTTGAGAGTTATTTTTAGGTTATACACATAATTTGAGGTTAATATTGACGTTGCAATTCATTTCAGGACACAAAACAACGAAAAAATTTCCTTTAACCTAAAAAAAACGCATTTTTAACTTCAAAAATTGTCGTAGTTTTCAATTGTCTTGCTTAATATTGATGTTGCAATTCATTTTGAGACATAAAACAACAAAAAATTTATTTAACCTCAAATAAATTTTTTTTAACCTAAAATTGCCACTCAAGGTCATAGCTTTCAATTGTCTTGCTCCATAACATTGCATCATTCTTACTGTTGGAGATGATGATGACTGATGCGTAATATACCTTCATGGGGGGCCGAAGTAGGTCGGCGGCGGCGGCGGTTGGGTGCGAAGCGGGTCAAGGCCAACAACATGAACACATTACGCCTGCTTACGTAGGTACTTACTTAGTCGCTACGCATCGGAATGTCTACGCACGCCAGCAACATTTTCCTTTTCTCTCTGCTCAATCAATTTTTCGGGGGCTTTACAAGGCCGCGCGCAACTCGGGAAGACATCTGTCTGACTGTATTACGTATCGCCTAATGCAACAAGTCATTCGCGTGTAAAATACGGATTTTTGTCAAAATTTTATCGTCATCCATTGCGGAGGGCTTAGCGCGTAAGCACTTTAAACGATTCTAAATGCGTTTACAGTTTCTGCTCCTGCGAGCACTTTTCACCTTTTCATCTCATGTCGAACTCATTCTTCTCCAGTAAGCCGGATCAGCAAGACAATGGTCTTAAGGGATTTGAATAATGCGCACCCGGGGAAAAAAATTCCGAGAGAAAAATGTTTTTTTGCGCGCGTGTGCAAGGACGAAATTAATTAATTCCGAAAATTGTTGTTTGTTGACTGATAAAATTACTATTTGTTGAAGCACACGTGTAATTTTAATTAAAAACTAACGTTTCATTGAAAATTTCGAAGTTTTTTTGCATTTTTTACGTAAATAAAATAATTTTAAGTCAAAATTTAACCAAAATGGTGGCTAGAAAGCAGTATATAATAATTACAGCGCTCGGTGCGGTCAAATGCAAAACAGCTTTGTCTCTCCCAAGATGATTACGCCACCGCCGCCGCAAGTTGCGCGACGGGGTTTCTAATTGTGCGACGTTGGCGGTGAATTATGCCCGGCGAAGCAATTGCCTCGTTTATGACGCACGTATGCTCACGTTAAATAAATACAACGAGATTTACCCTCACGAATAGAGAAACAAAAAGCTCAGCGGTGGCTAGCATCCAATTAAAAGCACAAGATTACCCATAACACACACGTGAGATTGATTTCATCATATTATATTATTCACCACCTCATCCGGTGATAATATGTGTGACATTGTAAGCTCGGCTTTATAGGTTATAATCTTGCTTGTTCGGGCGTGGGGGTGTGTATTGCTTACACGCGGCTTTGATTTACGAGCGACACGCACATGCACAACACACTCGAGCCGGGGTAATATCATCATTTGAAATTTATTACAAATATTTCCAGCTCGCATGCGGCGCGTCTAATGCCAACCACCTCAAAGGAGCTTTGGATGCCCGGCGCCTCCACATAATCTTACGCTTTGTATTTTAAACTAAAATTAGAAAACATTTTTTTTTCAGGGAGTGGATGGGATAATGGGATGGATGCATATTAAAGTTGCGTTAAGTGTGGAGCGAAAAACAATTTGCACTCGTTTAAAACGCGCAAAGTGCTGCGGGATTTAAATTGAGATTAATTTGCAAAGCGGAGCGTCAGATAATAATTTAAATAGTAATTATGAAGAAAATGTTTTTAGATTTATTTAGGTTATTTAGGAAATTTTTTTTGTTGAAATTTTAAAGAAAAACTTTAAAAAAATTTTTTTTCTTTAATTTAGTGGTGAATTAATGCAAGTAACTTATTTAATTTGATTATTCATAAGAACATTAACATATTTCCATATTCACCTCCACCCCTGACCCGACATTGTAACCTCAAAGCGACTTTTTGTTGTTTAATTAATATAAATTAACATCTCGCTTTTTTGCGAATGTAGCAAAAACACTATTTTAATATGCACGGTAGGTTTTTACTGTTATATACATATAGATATCTATATGTGTGGGTAAAGAAAAAGGTGGGGAGTAAAGAGGGGTGCGCGGCGCGCTCGCGAGCGTAGGCGGACCCGGTCGACGGCGGCGGCGGCGGCGGACTCTGCGTGCTCTCCAGCTAGTCGCGAGCCGTCTCCAGCGTCGTTCGCAAGCAGCCTCAGGCGCACCAAACACACAAGCAAGCGGCGAGCGCACGCAAAACAAACAACACAAAATCCGATTTGAAACACACTCGCGACGTTTGTTGAATCAATGCAACTGACGAAAGTATTGTGAATTTGTATAGTGGACAACACAGTGCCCGATCTGGACAGGACTAAAACCTCGGACGTGCGATGAGCGGTAACACTGACTTAAGTCTCCTCTTACTTTACTGAACAACTGAAAAGCAAACGCAAATCATATCAATTTAATTATTCGTGTAATAGATTCGTGTACAATTCATATTCGTAATAATCGACTTGAAATATTTTTCGACAAATCCAACTAGTGGGCATTTGGAGAAGATTTGGTGAAGAGAATTTGATTTCCTCACGATTTTTTGCTGTTTTACTGCGTTACTGCCGAGCGCACCCATTCGATACACTGTGGGGCGGCGGCAACAAGTGGAAACACACCATATTATAACTCTTTCTCACCCTCCGGCGGGCGGCAAGTCTAATAATAGTCAGCGCCTACCCAAAGTGATTTAAAAAGACCTCGAAAAGTGAATTATTTCTGTGTTGAATTTGCTTCTTCTAAGCGTTAAGATTGAACCGCCGGGTGAATTCGCACCGCCGCTAAGAGGGCTGATGGTTCGGGCGCGATGATCACCTGAAACCCCATCGCTAGCACCATTGTCCTCCACCATACACTTTGCATCCGCTGTTCCACGGCTTTCAACAAACAGCAGGGCCTAACAAGTCCCAACCGGAACCGCCGCTCGCCTCCCCCCTGGAGTAGTAGCCAGAATGTGGGCCGTGCTGACGGTGACGGTCTGGGTGCGTGCCCTTGCCACCCCGCAACCGCTTCAGTCACCGCAGCAACAGCAGGTGCAGGTCCAAGCACAGACTAAACCTCTAGCTCCAGCGGCGAATCATTTAAAAATTCGTAAACGCTCTGAGTTGCCACGCGATTGGAACGAATGGAACGATGTGGATTTCAACTCGAATAATCAAAATCAACGATTTGCGTATGCGCCAAACTCGAAAGTCGACTTTGGGAATCCACTGGCGGGGATTGCGGCGTCGACGTCGTTCTTCGGTGTGAATGATTGGCAGAAGCGGGATGGAGGCGGCGAGGGAGGCGGCGTGCATCCGCCGCAGCTCATGTTGCGGTCACCGCGTGCCGGCAGACAGTATGATGTTCCACAAATAGGTGAGTAGTGATGATTAATATTGCTTGACTCATCAATTGAATAAATCTAGGCAATTGGCATATGACTGACTCAATGCGGAAGTTGCAATTAGATGTATAACATACACACATGTATAATATGTTGCCTATATTACAACTTTTTTAAAAAAAATTCATGAATATTTAACGTGCTTTGTCGATAAAGTCGTTAATGTCGGAAAACATCATCGCAACAATTCCTAATTAGATTCGTGTAGGCTTTTCGACTTTCATTCGCTGAAAAGTTTGATGATCCGTAGAACGAAGATTCGGTTGGGGAAATTGACGTCTCGGCTTGTTGCTCACCGCTCATCCGCCTCACACCTATGCCGATTTTTTTATTAACAAGATTTCATAAATATAATAACGCTAAATCAGCGTTTTTTCCGTTGCTCGTACAATTCCCATAGTAATTAATTTAAAATTTCGCTGAGATAAGCGCAAAACAAAATATTAATCATTCGTTGAGTTGAACTTAAACTTAGCAAAGTTAATTTCAATTCAATTTCCTTTCGCTTTTCCATTAAAAGTCGTAAACAGGCCCGCCCGCCGACAAAGTTGATGATTATTTATGATTAAAAATGCGCGCACTTCTATTGCACAATATTAATCATAAAATACGCGTTGAATTAATTCGATTAGCAGGCGCTAATGAGTAATAACTGTACGTCATATCTAAATTCCACCTGTTTCTGGTACTGTGTGGGCTGGCAAATAAAGTTTGCAATCGATACAGCGAATGCCTGCAAACACCTCGTGGTATTTGTTCAATAATTAAGCCAGCGATTACCTGGGCACGACGACAAATTGATTCGTGTTCATATTTTTTTCCCGAAATTGTTAATTAATTATTTTACTTGCGCGCGTCTTTTCGGATAGGACGCGAAGAGAATTTAAATGTCACCTTGAATGAACCTGTCGAGATGTGGATTAAATTGAATTATCTTTAGTTCGGGCTTTGCTTTTACCTTTCTTCCTGTCGAATTTCATTTCGAAAGCTCGGAATTACGTTTGTCATCAAGTTTAAATTAAAAATTCACTCGCAAAAACTCTTAAAACAAGCAAAATAATTAAAAATATTGATTTTTTGTTTTTTAAGGTTATGTTGTATTCTTCTGTCATCATATCCGGTATTTAACCTCAACTTAACCTAAAAACTTGATTTTTTGTTTTTTAAGGTTATGTTGTCTTCCTCTGACGTCATATCCTGTGTTTAACCTCAACTTAACCTAAAAACTATCGAATTTATGTATTTATGTAATACATGTCTATTAATAGCTGGAAATGTTTGATATCGGGATGAATGTTGGGAGAGGTGGGTGAAGGTTCTGCAGGTGTGCGGCACGTGCCGCAAATCCGGCCCCCCAATGACATTTCCATTGAACCCATTCAAAGCCGGCGCGCAACAAATGAGCAGCGCACTCACATGCGCCATGCGAGCCGAACTCAAACACTAACATATGTCCGCGGGGCTTATTTCGCCGCTGCGATCGGAAAAGCCCCGGCGCGAAGAAGCGTGGAAGCTCGCATGCGAAAAAGCACTAAGCGGAATTACCGCCGCATTAAGTGCGTACGGCACGTAATCGCATGCTGTTTTGCGCGTTTTCATCCAGCAAACGCTGCAAAGGGAAACATTCACGCGGAAAAAATCTCATCTTGCTGGAATTTCATTTCGATGTAATTAGGTTTCATTAATTTATATCTGATTATATGACTTGGATACGGATAGAAAAGGAGTAAAAGTTGAAATATTTTGTTTTTTATTGTTTATTGCCAAAGTATTACAATTTTTCGAACATTTTTAACAACTAAAATATGCGGGGTTAAATTATCTTTCATTTGATATATTTTACAATATTGTGGGATAATTATTTTCGGAGATATTGCACAAAATGTTAATATTTTTTTGATGCAACCCAAAAAACATGTTTTTTGAGGGTTATTAGTGTTTTTCCTGAAAATCAACATGTATATATAATTTTTTCAGTAGACAAAAGTTGAAGGATTAAATTTTCATTAATTTGACATATTTTTCAATACTGTGTGATATATATTTTCGAAGATATTGCTAAAAATGTAAATATTTTACCCACGCAACCCAAAATACACGTTTTTGCTTTCACTGGCGATTTTCCTAAAAATCAAAGATTGTATATGATTCATTTATTATCCAAAATTAGTGCGATTAAATTTTCATTAATTTGACATATTTTTCAATACTGTGTGATATATATTCTCAGAAATATGCAAAAATGTAAATACTTTACCCACGCAACCCAAAATACACGTTTTTGATTTTACTGGCGATTTTCCTAAAATCAAAGATATCCAAAATTAGTGGAATTAAATTCTCTTTGATTTGACGTATTCTCCAACACTATGTGTTCAATAATTTCTGAGATATTGCAAAAATTGTAACATTTTGCCCACGCAACCCAAAATACATGCTTTTCAGTTGTTACTAATATTTCTCCTGAAAATCAACACATATATATGAACCTTTCATCACTAAAAACACACGTAATTAAATTCTCTTTGATTTGACATATTTTCCAATACCGTGTGACAATTATTTTTGGAGCTATTGCACAAAATTGTTAATATTTTTATCTACGCCACCCAAAATACATGTTTTTTGAGTGTTTTTGATGTTTTCCCTAAAAATCAACATGTCAATATGAGTTTTTCAGTAGCCAATAGTTGAGGGATGATATTTTCATTAATTTGACATGTTTTTCAATACTGTGTGATAAATATTCTCGGAGATATTGCAAAAAATGTAAACATTTTGTCCACGCAACCCAAAATACACGTTTTTCACGATTTCACGGGCGATTTTCCTAAAAATCAAGGATTGTATATGATCCATTTATTATACAAAATTAGTGGAATTAAATTTTCTTTATTTTGACACATTTTCCAATACTGTGTGATTAATAATTACCGAGATATTGCAAGAATTGTAACATTTTGCCCACGCAACCCAAAATACATGTTTTTCGAGTGTTATTAGTATTTTTCCTGAAAATCAACGCATATATTTGATCTTTTCAGTAGCTAAAAGTATAAGAATTAAATTTGCGTTAATTTGATACATTTTTCAGTACTGTGGGATAAATATTTTCGGAGATATTGCTAAAATTGTAAATATTGTACCCACGCAACCGAAAATACAAGTTTTTTTATTTTACTGGCGATTTTTCTAAAAATCAAGGATTGTGTATAATTCATTTATTATACAAAATTAGTGGAATTAAATTCTCTTTGATTTGACGTATTTCCCAACACTGTGTGATCAATAATTTCCGAGATATTGCAAAAATTGTAACATTTTGCCCACGCCATCCAAAATACATGCTTTTCATGTGTTACTAGTGTTTCTCCTGAAAATCAACGCGTATATATAACCCTTTCATCACCAAAAACACACGTAATTAAATTCTCTTTAATTTGACATATTTTCCAATACCGTGTGACAAATATTTTCCGAGTTATTCTATAATATTATTAACACACTACCCACGCAACACAAAACACATACCCTTTGAGTATCAGTACTATTTCAACCGAAACTCACCGTGTATATATGATCCCTTCATCCTTCAAAGGGAACTCCAGTGGCTGGCAACATTCAATGTCGAGTGATTTTCCATTGATGCGGAGCCGTGATTAATTTAAACGCAGCGCGTCAGTTCGAATTGCCCTGCGGTTTGTCGCTGCGAAGTGTTGCAATATTACAATTGCCATTCAAGCGTTCCATCGAACCGTACGTACACCGAATGCAATTTTTCGCGTCGACGCGAAGCCATTTGCAAATTACGCTTTGTTGACGGCCACACTTGTTGCCAGGTCACAATATCTAATCAAATTAATTGCATATTGTTTCATCTGACCTTCTCGCCACCACCGAACGGAAAACCTACAGATATCCAAGCGAGATAAATTAAAAACAAACAATTGTAAACTATGTGTAAGTGTAAGACTTGTTGGAGTACTTGTTGCGTGTGTATCGGCCGCGGGGGCTGCAGCGCCGTTTCAAAGATTAATTATATTAGAGGGCATGCGGAGGAAGAGCTTCCAAGCAAAATAAAAACTGAACAAACAACGCACGACGCTATAAAATACCCCCACAAATTATATTCTACAATTTTTTATTATTTCTCATCAAAAAACACCAAAAAATTCAACATAACCTCAATTCAACTAAAATTATTTTATAGGTTAGTTTTTGTTGGTTAACCTCAGCTCCAACTCGAACCGCAAAGGTAGCCTGCTTCCATTCATAAACTCCTCGGATCGATAAAGATTTGCCTCGCTGTTTCATGATTAATCCAACGTCGTGTATTAGTTCTAAAGATAGTTTCGTGAAGCTTAAAATACACCCGAACCCGAAGCGTAATCAGATCTTATCGAATAAAACTAATTGACTGAATTTCCAAGCGCAAAAAATGATACGTAACATTCCTGACACGTATATCATGTTAAGCTTCTGATTAGGCCACGGAACATGAACTTCAATAATGGATAATTGAATTTGCATCGCTCGGGAGTTGCGAGCAAGTAAAGCCAATAACTACACATCGATACAAAGACAAACTGATCAAGGAGGATGCATTATTAAGTTATCTCTAGTTGTTTGCCCAAGTGGAGCAACTTTGATTAATCTTAATCAAATACCAGGCGAATAATTAAATTTATGATTTTAAACAAAAAGAGAAAAATTTGTTTTCAGGTAAATTTTGAAGTTTTTTTGAATATTTATCTTCGTACGCTCGGCGGTAAATCCAGCACACACATTCCCAAATGGTTTATCACTTCGTCGAAGACGCCTCGTAAGTAGTTCAATTGGAAAGCCATAAATAAAGGACACTTCTGCGTTTCGGAACTGCGCGCACACAAATCGCAAGTCGCCCACTTGCAGAATATATGTTGTTATTTTGCGGCTGCATTTCCACGTAAACAGTCCATCCACCGAGCGTAGC